GCCATTTTTTCATTCCAACCAAAACCTCACATAAAAAGATTAATTAATTGAAAGAAGTAATTTGGTCAATAGGCCACTAAATATAATGGATTTAATAAGTAAAACGAAGTATAACTTTACTAACAGCTCCCGTGGCAACTTCGAATCATTTGAAAAATGGCAAAAAAGGAGGGAAAATTCGAAAGGTTGTACGTTGAGGTGAAGAGTTGGTGTCCCCGAGTGGATCGAAGTCACGATAGCTCAAGTGGTAAGAGCAGCGGCGTATTCGGCCGAAGGTCGTGGGTTCGAATCCCGCTCGTGGCACTTGCTTTTTCATTCCGACCAAAACCTTACATAAAAAGATTAATTAATTGAAAGAAGTTATTTGGTCAATAGATCACTAAATATAATGGTGTTAAATCTAAAATTTCAACAGGGCGCTAAACGGACTTGATAAATATTCTATAATAGTTTCAACATAAAAAATATATAAAAAGACTTTTGAGGGTTCGAATGGCCATTAAGACGTAATACAGGAGGAATCCTAGAAGGGATTAGGACAGTAAATGGGCAGTTTGGAAATACGTGAGCCCACCTTACAATGTCTACTCACATCTGTCAAGGTCTCCCTCCGAGAAATATTACAACCGTCTTGTTAAACTATATTTGCTGTTATAGAGACGTGGACAACAATTGCTGCAGGTCAACCAGTGAGAACAAGCTGATCAGGATTATCTATGACGACCGAATTACAGATTTAAAAAAGTGAATAGTTTTTTGGTCTGCGAGACAATGACCACATTACGGACACTGGTTTTAACTAGCGTGATTAGGCGGACATCAGTGTCGATCAGTTCAACACCCAGATTCACTGCGATTACTTCAATATTTTCCCTTTTATACGTTATGGGAATGTAATGAGGATAAAAAGAAAGACCAACAACTGGAAATTAAGAATCGATTTTCACCTCAAGCGAGTTAAGTGACCGATTGAGAATGAACCACTGATGATGCTGAAACGCGTCTGAGTAAAGGCGGACCAGGAAGATCGGAAACGAACGGAAGAGCGGAAACGCCAACTATCTGGCCTTGTAACTGTCTAAATCAACTATGTGAGGAGTTAACCGTGGAACAATTTGGTCGTTTCTTAAAAACTAGAAGCGTTTAGGGAGGAAAAATAGATCAACCTCTGAAAACATAGCAAAGCCGAAAAGAGCAAGCAGCGAGAAAAGATGATACGATTAGTATCGGAGACGACCTGACTACAGTTTCACTTGCTAAGCTTCGAGTTTTCTCGAGCGTTTAAGTTTTGCTAGAAGTCTAAGAAAGGCAGATAAAACCAGTCCTTAACAGGCGGACCAGAAGTTCGGAAGCATTGAAACTGAAGATGGTGGGATGAACTCGTATTATGGGCGTTTCTGATTCCATCCCTATCCAATCTTGGTCCTCCTATTCTCACTGGTTCGGTAGGTGATATTCGTTTCTGCATTCTTCAGAGTTCAGTAGTGGTTTTGTCATTTTCGGATCTAAAAGGAGGAAACTAAGAAAGGCAGACAAAACCAGTCCTGAACAGGAGGACCAGAAATTCGAAAGCATTGAAACTGTAGATTCACTTGCTGACCCCGTATGTTTTTTTCGCGAATCTTTCTTCTTTCTAACTTCTACAAACGTAATATAAGGAGAATGGCAGATCAACTATTGAAAAAAAAAGATAAGGTCTTGCAAGGCATCAAACGAGGAAATGCGAATCAGGATGATCGACCCAACTACCAATTCAATTGTTTAGCCTCGACTTTTTTTCATTAATTTGTTAATTAGTAAGTTCTACCTATGAAAAATGAGGAATAGGACACATATACTAGTAAAGAAGGACAGACCATGTAACACCAACCATGAAGACCAAACCATCCAACTTGGATGAAACCTTGTAATTTAGAAGCATATAGATCGAATCTTCCGGTCTATAGTTTTTGATTGATGTGACACAAACTTGAGGAAAAGATAGAAAGTGAAGGAAGTAAAAAATAACCATGAAACAAGCTCATAACAGCACTTTAATTAATGTATAGTTCGATCACTTCAGTTCATCTTGGTCCGCTGTTTTCGCCTGTCAAAAGAATTTAGGATTTATATTGAAATAGTGCAGAAAAGGAGTAGTAACTAAACCGACAGAAAATCACGAAATGCCAAAACCTATCTGAACAAACTAGCGAGGATAGACGGACCAGAAAATCGAAACTGACCAAACTGCACGACTCCGCAGACCTGTTACTACTTTTTCATAAGACAGAAAGATACAAAAATACTTAAAACTGGGCAAGGGCCTAGGTTATAAGTGAAGAAGAAACAAGACAACAGATTGTTTAAAAAGAGCCGCGGAACAACTCATAGGCCCATATTTGGCATCACCTACAGCCATATTAAAATTGGGTAACTAAAGAACCGAGCAAAGACTGGGTGTGAAAACCAAGCTTGTGAAAAGCAAAAAGACTACTCCCACGAATAACCCAATGGGAGAGAAGAAATACTTCGCAACAGAATGGAATTAAAAATTCTAACACGACCTGTTCCAGTTAATATCCCTTAAAATACTGGGACTATTATCCGACCAATGTCTAATATGTCCAGAAGAGGCAGTAAATCCTATGCATCCTATGCAACTGTCTTGCAAATCTAGAAGGTCTTGGTACCTGCGAATGCCATTCTTGAACAATGCAGCCTTCGATTCAATACTATGGAAAATATTTCAATATTTCATTTAAGAAACAAAAATCTTGTAATAAAAAAATTCTATTATTCAGGATGGCACATGCATTTGTAAAATTCCATTTCCCACTTAGGAGGGGACGTTCTGAAACACATATGGATTATCACCGAGTAATTCGACTGCAGTGATGTGAATTCTTCCTGAAGGGAGAAAAGGACCCAGGAAGAGTATGGAGCATAAAAATAGCAAAAACCTCTGAACAAGTAGAGATACAGAAGTAGAATCCCTGGGCCATTTATGTTGCTCCCTCCAACCAGCTTGACCACCCTTTCATGTAAGCATAGTTTATATATTTAGTCTGTGAACAACTTCTTTCAGATATACCTCCAATTCATATTATGCACAATTTTCATTTAAATTATATTTGTATTATTCAGGTTTAATATTTTTTTATTAATGTGTGGTGTTTATTGACGTCAGCCAATGATTATTCGGAGATCGTGAGATGCGGTCTGGTGTGGCTTAGGTTTTGAGAAAACCATTTTCTTTATCGTGCCAACGTTTCGATCTTTATTGAGATCATCTTCAGGGCTCAAAGTGTCTGTTTTCTGTGTAGATGTGTCATTCTTGGGTGTCGTGTTGAGAGTGCCTCCCCACCCGTCACCCAAGAAGGACACAATTACATAGAAAACAAACACTTTGAGCCCTGAAGATGATCTCAATAAAGATCGAAACATTGGCACGATAAAGAAAATGTTTTTCTCAAACCCTAAGTCACACCAGACCGCATCTCACGATCTCCAAATAATCACTATTTTATTAAATCTCTTACTCACTAACAATCTTTTTTAATTTATTTATTTTTAAATTTTTTTACACTTAAGTTTTCCCAATGAAATAAGAAGAAAATGACAGACCTTCACTTGGGCAAATGCAGAACCAGAATGACCTGCTATAACTATAATTTTTACTTACGGGGACTGTTATATATTGTGCATTTGTTCTTTTCTTTTCTAGACTCAAGAGAATAACGGATAAACTACTGATGACGACGACCCTTCCCGGAATGTCCGCAGAGATCAAATCAGCGAGAAGCCATATCCGGAAGTGTCGAAACCCGGTGAACCCGTGTGTTTTCATACACATCTGTTGAAATTAAAAAAAAACGTAATATGAAGGGCATGACAAAGTCAAGTACTGCAAAAGGAGAAAAGCGTCTCACAGACCGAACCAGCGAGGACGGGCGGACCAGGATGATACAACCATACTACGGATTTACTAGCAAAATCTTTGCTTTTTCTGGATCCGTTCTTTTTTTTTTTTCTTTTTTTTTTTTAGTTCTAAAGATTGAGCAAAACCAGACCAACCTCTGTTAAATGCCGAAACCATCAGAATCCAAACTGGCTAAAAGATCGGAGATGTTTTAAACACTGAACCTGTTCTTTTTTCTTTCCATTTGCCATTTTTTAAGCTTTGCTAATAAGTAATAAGAAAAAAAAGGATCAAAGATTGATAAAAGGACAAAGCCGATACGAGTAACATACCAAACAAGGAAGGATAAGCGGACAAAGGGGTGCGAGAGTACCAAGCCGCAGGACGATGTCCTCGCAGACCTCAATTTTTTTATTTACTGGCGGGAAATTTTACCTTTTTTGGCAGTTACGGAAAAACAATTTTTTTTTACAAGTTGAGTATAAACTTACTTGTTTTGTACTTGATGATTATGTGGAGATCGTGAGATGCGGTCTGGTGTGAAGTAGGTTTTCGTAAAAGTTTTTCTTTATCTTGCCTACGTTTCGATCTTTACTGAGATCATCTTCAGGGCCTGGGATTTATAAACATGGTTTAAATTTTACAAATACATGAAGGATGTGAAAAAAGAAATCCCAGGCCCTGAAGATGATCTCAATAAAGATTGAAACGTTGGCACGATAAAGAAAATGTTTTTTCTGAAACCTACGTCAAACCAGACCGCATCTCACGATCTCCAAATAATCATTAACTAACGGTCACTAAACATCACACAAGTGTACTTAACATTAAAGAAGGAAAGTTGTTTATGGTTTTTATGAGATGGACGAGGTAGCTCGCGGGATAGCGCGTGGTCAAAGCAACAGATAAATCTCCCTTTACCGGACATTACAAAGAGGGGGGTTGGTCAGTAAGAGGGAATTAAAAAAAACGGTCAGAAACCAGTTTTGAACTAGGACGAGGGTAAAAAGAGGTTCGCCGGCGTTTCGAGGGGTGGACGATTTAACAAAACACCCTTGGTCACCCATGCAAAAAAAATTTGCATTACAAAAAAAAAGCTTACTTGTTCCGTTGGCGTTTCTGCTCAGTATTTTCGCCTGGGGTTGAGCGGACGATGATGAGTTGAGAGGCGGTGTAGTCTCAGGACACGGGTAGTCCATAATTGGCCTACACATAACCACTGACTCGGTCGTGAGAGCACTGCTTCTCGTTTCCACCCTCCTTCGACGGCGGGACGTTCCCCACCCGGGCGCGCTCTTGGAGGGGGTCGAGGGGTGGGGAAAAAGTGTAAGGGTTGAAAAAAATGGGCCACCGGGTCCACCCCACGTCGGCCCTGGGGCCCTTTTTTCCACGGCAGAGGGAAAATAAAAGAGGTCGATATGGCGGTTACGTCCTTCCACCTTTCCCGAAAATGTATCGCCCTTTTTCCAACCAAAATCGACGACAAACCCTTCGCCCTTCGCAGCCAAATATATATCTAACTACAACTTAAATATTTTTCCTTTTTTTGAACTATTAAATTGTCACGCATTATAAAAAACTGAATAAGTATAAAAAAAAAATGTTACGAGACTGCTGCACAACGGATATTTCACATAAAACTATTTGCACAAATAACTATTCGCCATAGCCATGGGCAGCAATCTAGGCACTATAATAATAGATATAGTCATGACTAGGGTTGTGATTTATATGCAATAAAACCCAACAAATATGCACATATATGTAAATATATTTGGTAAAAAATTCAATTTAAAACTGAAAATATGCGAAAACTATGAAGAGAAAAAATAAGGAAACCTCAAATTAAAGCAAATAATTTTATTGGAAAGAGAAACAAAGGCAAGAGGAACATCACATTGCTAATATTAAAAAAGAAAAACGCATTTAAAAAAATGCAATTTAAAACTGAAAATATACGAAAACTATCAAGAGAGAAAATAAGGAAACCTCAAATTAAAGCAAATAATTTTATTGGAAAGAGAGTGACAATAGGAACATCACATTGCTAATATTAAAAAAGAAAAACCATTTAAAAAATTGTTAAACTTAAAAAATCCGTCGTCTAATCCATCAAGATCGGTCCATTTTCGATGAAGTCTCTGATTTTACGGTGTGTTTCATTGTATGTAAGATCCAGGTGAGATTTCCTGAGTGTACTTTCGTGGGGAATGGTTGTCCCTGTGTATTTCTCCAAAAAACATTTGAATTCAGGGTGGCTTAGTTTATGGATGGGTATGTCAGCTCTAACTGACATAAATCGATATCGAAACCGGATTTTCCAGACTCAGATCGTGTGGCAGCTTGTGTCACAAAGGTCTGTTGAAACTTATAACTTCTTACCTTTGGTTTCCTTTTGTTTTGCTGTCTTTATGTGCTGTGTTACCAAAAAACGTGTAGGTGTCAATCTCCCTTAAAAGTCTCGCTTGAAAACTTACGCACTTACTTTTGAACAAAATATTTCGTTTTTGGGGGTGACTTTCGTTATTTTACGAGTAGTCAGTTCACAACACACAAAAAATGTTTCACGTTGGAAAACGCATGAGAAACTGGGTAAAACTGAGAAGTATGATGGTAGGGAAAGAAGAGAACTGAGGTCGTAATATTTCTATGAATCCGATTAAACTATTCCAAGAGTGGTACAAACACTATTCCTTTCTCTATTTATTCCAAGAGAAGCAAAAGCGACCGAAAGTTCGCGAAAAGCGGAGCAGCAACTGAACAAGCACAAACTCGCTCGTTATGTGGAAACGGAAGAATGGGAGCCTGTGGCTCTTTTTCAGAGAATTCTTCTTTTTGTCTGCTCAGAAACATTAAAATTTGACGTGCGATATGCCGAATATGTAAAAAAATATGGAATTATAACCCACTTATGCAAAAATATGCAAAATAAATATGTGTGGTGATTAGCGACCTTTTGTCAATGATTATTCACAAATCGTGAGATGCGGTCTGGTGTGAACTAGGTTTCAGAAAAACATTTCCTTTATCGGGCAGACGTTTCGATTTTTATTGAGATCATCTTCAGGGCCTGGGATTTACAAACATTGTTTAAATTTAACAAATACATGCGGGATGTGGAAAAAAGTGATGAAAAGATTTAAACAATGTTTGTAAATCCCAGGCCCTGAAGATGATCTCAATAAAGATCGAAACGTAGGCACGATAAAGAAAATGTTTTTCTGATTTCTATATCTCACCAGACCGCATCTCAACATTTCCGAATGAACATCCCACTAAGTTTATTTTTTATTTTTATTTTTTTTATTTAAAATCCGTGTTCATGAAGATTGCTATTTTTTATATAATATAAATTTTTTGTTCGTTTGTTTAAATGTTAATTTGTAAAATTATGTGGTCAATTTGAGAAAGGATCAGTAGTGTGGTGTTAAAAAATGAAAAAAGGTAAGGATTGTACTAAAAGGATCGATATTTTTTTAAATAAATAAAAATATACTGTAATAAATAAAATAAATTTAAACATACCCACTTAGTTTATTTTTTCTTCGCTTTTATTTTTAATTAAAATCCGTTTTTATGAAAGAAATTTGTTTATGTATTTTTTATATAATAAACATTTTGTGTTTATGTAAATTTTAATTTGTATAAATGTGTAGTGAATTTGATTAAGGATCAGGAATGTAGTCTTAAAAAATTTTAAAAAAGGGAAGGATTGCACTAAAAGGATCGATTTTTTTTAAATAAATAACAATATACTTCACTTCTTGTGGGCACTCTCAACACGCAAGAATAGCACAATTACGCAGAAAACAAACACTTTGAGCCCTGAAGAGGATCTCAATAAAGATCGAAACGTTGGCACGATAAAGAAAATGTTTTTCTGAAACCTACATCTCACCAGACCGCATCTCACGATTTCTGAATAACAAAATAAATATAGCTTAAATTGATTCCAAATGCTTCAAAACATATACAGTTTGTTTTAGTCAACCAGGAAAAATATGCAAATGCATATATTTCACAGCACTAGTGATGACCCAATTAATCAACACTGTTATAACCCAACTATCTTTCACTTGATCCTTCCTCACCACATTGATGACATTCTAACAGCAGTATCCTCAGATCAAATACAAAGATCGCTACCTCAATTATACATCACACCACCCCCTACACACAATTGTTACATAGAATCATATTTCTAAGTCAAGAAACCGTTCACCTAAAAAATATCCAAACAAACAAACACATCTTACATAACAATAACTACCCTAAAAATATAATCAACAGAATCATAAACAATTATAACCCAGAACTACATAAAAGAACGTCCTCCACAGTACACAACATATCATCAACACAATCATACAAAGACAAACCAAATATAAACGTTCATTCCATTCATCCATTGTCATAAATATTAAATAAATTTCTCTCCTCAGAATTAAAATAAAAATAGCTTTTAAAAACCATAAAACAGTACACACACTTTTTTCCAAAGTCACAGACTCAAAACCAACAGTCTACAAATCCGATGTAATTTATAAAATTAATTGTATGAACTGTCCAGCTTCATTGGGACTACATCGCAATTTCTGGAAAAACGGAAAAAACAACACATTTATGACTGTAAAATACCAAAAACCAAACCCTCAGCATTGGCCACACACCACAAGAGAAAAACAGCACAACTTTGATTTTAACAAAATACAAATACTAAACACGGAAAAAAACAAATACAAAGCAATTTTCTAGAGATGTTTTACATTAACAGTGATGTGAAACGTGAATTTCAACGAGAACACTTTCACACAAAGTCAATATGACACCACAAAAATAGCACCACACTTTATGTGAAAATGAAATACTTGGTTCAAAATTGATATTACACCTTAAATTGTATGTTTTTGAATCAACATATCTTTTGTAATTTATCCAGGCGCTGAAGATGACCTGAATAAAGGTCGAAACGTCCGCGAAAAATGAAAAAGGTATTTATCTAAGCTACCTCATTCTTGGCCGCTCCTCACGACTTCAACAAATTACAAAAAAAGTGTTGGGACTAATAAAATATAGTGTTTATCCGACATATTAACCCTTTTTTATTTATTTTTGACTTTTAAAAAAATAATATATCTACAGAGATTAATTTATATTGAAAATTTATCTGCGGTGGGATGAACTCGTATTATCGGCGTTTCTGATTCCATCCCTTGGTCCTCCTATTCTCGCTGGTTGGGTAGGTGATATGCGTTTCCGCATTCTTCAGAGTTCAGTGGTGGTTTTGTCATTTTCGGATCTAAAAGGAAGAGACTTAGAAGGACAAACCAAAACAGTCCTGAACAGGAGGACCAGAAATTCGAAAGCATTGAAACTGTAGATTCACTTGCTGACCCCGTATGTTTTTTTCGCGAATCTTTCTTCTTTCTAACTTCTACAAACGTAATATAAGGAGAATGACAGATCAACTGTTGAAAAAGAAGATAAGTTCTTGCAGAACATCAAACGAGGAAAGGCGGATCAACTACCAATTCAATTGTTTAGCCTCGGCTTTTTTTCATTAATTGTTAATTAGTAAGTTCTACCTATGTAAAATAAGGAATAGGACACATATACTAGTAAAGAAGGACAGACGTAGTAACACCAACCATGAAGACCAAACCATCCAACATGGATGAAAGAAAAATTGCATTATCTTCCAACTTGGATGAAACCTTGTAATTTAGAAGCATATAGATCGAATCTTCCGGTCTATAGTATTTGATTGATGGACATAAACTTGACGAAAAGAAAGAAAGAAAGTGAAGGAAGTAAAAAAACCATGAAACAAGGTTATAACAGCACTTTAATTAATGTGTAGTTCAGTCGATTCATTTCGCCTGTCAAAAGCATTTAGGATTTTATATTGACATAGTGCAGAAAAGTAGTAGTAACTTAACCAACAGAAAATCTCGAAACACCGAAACGAATCTTAACAAACCAGCGAGGATAGACGGACCAGAAAATCGAAAATGAACAAACTGTATAACTCTATTACTATCAGACCAACGCTCGAGTTTCACTTGCATTTCCTCTACGTTTTCTCGCCGGTTGGTCTGTTTTGTACATCCGAAAATTAGAGAATCACCAATGAATATGGACAAATGCAGAAACACATCTCAAAGACAAAACCAGCGAGAATAGGCGGACCAGGGTGAAACTCCTAATCTGATTTTATACACCGAGAGATCTTCAAAATCAAAAATATATATTTAAAAAACCTGGAACGACAAATTA